ATTTCAGCACTTCCTCTTTGTTACATTCCCCTTGATCATGCCCTACCAGGTCTCCCACACCCACCTTCCCACCAATTTGGATCGCTTGTTCGTCCCTTGTCCCTGGGTTTGTTAACAAAAACTCCTTTTTTAAACAACTGAGCTTTCTCTCACTACTACTATCAAGATATTCTACCATGTCCCACCATATCCTATATCACTGTTTACTTGCTATGCATCCAAAAGACTCAATAACTATGTTTTATGTTATTATTGTTGTTTTTAAGAAATCAAAGTATATATACATACATAGAAAATTCTCAGAAAGCCCATGAAAGTCAAGTCATAAGGCAACAAAGGGAAAAGACAGAAGATATTTCTTTTTCTTTATTTTTAAGGGGAGAGCATGAATGCAGTCCCGCACAACCACAAATTATGCAGTCAAGTTTCCCACATTTGGGGAAATTGCAGGGGTCAGCACATCCGGAGTGCAATGGATAAGCCTCGCCCTGGGAAAACCACCTTTGTGATCATGGTATCTTCCCTGCCAGGTAAGTATAGATATTTATTTTTCCTAGCAGTCTGATACCTAACTTCTTTTCTCACCTGAAACCCCTGGGCGCCTAGATATTGAAAGCACTTTTGCATGCTGAGGAGCAAATTGGAAAATCACATGTCATGAGACAAGGGATTGTACCTCTGAGCAGATGCAGTTCACACAGTAAACCAACCCATAGGGTTCCAGGTAAGGATGCCATATCTCACCCACTCTGTACTTCTTGTCTTGAAACACACAATATGTCTCTGAATCTGTGGGGAAGGAGATGGAGAATATGTTTATTAGAAAATAGACCAAGTCACAAAATTTGAAGGCAATCACAGGTAACAATAGTATACATCAATTAAAGAGGCAGAATGAACTTTTTAAAGAACCTCTACCATGGACTCAGTGCGTGTTTTACATGCATTGTTCATTGAATCCTCACAATGACCAAGTAAGGTTATGTATTATTATTCCCATTTTACAGATAAGGAGAAAATAGTCTTTTAACCAACAGATGATTGAGAAGGGACTCAAACCAAAGTTGGTCTGACAGTTAAGCCCAAACTTTTAACGACTACTGTGCTGTAATGCTAAGGTAAAGGAGAATAACATCACATGTCCTTTTAAAAAACATTGTATTGTTCTCCATTTATTTGAAAATGAAAGTTCACATGTGAAACACCGATATATGAGAATACTCTGACCGTTGCTTGTTGGTGGTATAAGGGTGATATGCTAAATACATAGTGATGCTAGTGGTGCCATCTAGTCAGCTTCAACCCACAACACTATGCATGACAGAATGAAACACAGCCCAGTCCTGCACCATCCCCTCACTTACTATGTTTGAGCCCATTGTTTCAGCCACCATGTCAATCTCTCATGTTGAAGGTTTTCTTTTTAATCAGTCCCTCTGATTTACCAAGCATGATGTCCTTTATCAAAGACTAGTCTCTCCTGATAACATGTCCAAAGTGCATAAATCATCTCACTATCTTCAATTCTAAGGCCAAGCTATACTTCCTCCAAGACAGATTTCTTTGTACTTCTGACAGTCCAGAGTACAATCAATATTCTTCACCAGCACCATAGTTCAAAGGAATCCAGTTTCCTCTGGTCATCCTTATTCATTGTGCAGCTTTCACATTGAATATGAGACCATGGAAAATACATGACTTGAGTCAAGAGCACCCTAGTCCTCTTCAACACTTTAAGAAGGTTTTGTGCAGAAGACTTGCCCAGTGAAATACGTCCTTTGATTTCTTGACTGTTGCTTCCATGTACATTGACCAGGGCACCAAGCAAAATCAACATCTAGACAGCTTCACATTCTAATAGATCCATATATGTGACTTTTCGCATAAGTGCTTATGATTCAATTATGAAACACATATTTAAGTACATGCTCTTTGCAGGCACTATATGAAGTTCTAGGAATAAAATTATGAGTAAAATTCCACAGTTCCTGTTCCCACTAAATCACAGACATCTGTGCACACAATCAACTCTTAATTATCCCAAATGTAATATGTCTCTCCCTTTTGCTGTGATAGAAATTTTGGTAGCCACAACTTCTCTTGTATCTGTTACTTAAGCACATATCATGTTATTTGTTTTATTTCTCCATCTGGTTACAAGATCATCAAAAATAGGCAATATTCATTCTATTATCTATCTATCATATGGCCACCTAGTAAGTACACCATAGACAGTGTTACCAATTGTTAAATAAGTGGTGAATTAAATTTCCAAATAAAGCATTTTGCTTTTTAATTCCAACCTCCTTTATTTCTTGTTTGCCATCATAAAAACTCAAAGTAATCAATATTCCTCTTACAACAAACTTCCTTGAGAATCAAAAATCTCAGATTAAAGAAAAGACAGATAAGCAAAAAATTGGGAGACAATATTTCTAATAAAGAGTAAACTCAGAATTAGTATCTAGAACATTTTCATTTTAATCGTTCAACCCAATAAGCAAAATGTTTAAAAATTCCATAGAGAAATGCTCTAAGCATATTAACATGCAATTCAGAGAAGATATTGGAACAGATGATAAACATATGAAAAATTATTCAACCTCACTAGTAATCAGAGTTTTAAATTAAACTACACTGAGGACTTTGTTCAAAATCTCTTACTTTTGAGGTTGTCTGATAATTGGCAATTTAAGACTACCATATATTGCTATTTTCACTCTCTTTGCTTTTTGTGGCATGTCTTTGTCCTGTAGAGTTTTGCCTTGTTGAATGAGCATTATTGAAAGTTTTTCCTTGTGTCGAATCCTCATTGCTTAACAGTGTTCAGTTACTTAAGTATTTAATCGGTGTAAGTGAACATCCATACGTTTTTGTCTAAAAAGACTTTACTATATTTGGGTATTCTCTTTTCCCCCCAGAGACTTTAGATGTTATACCGTGTGCTAGATTAATGATATTATTATTGGAACTATTAAATATCTCATCAAAGTTACTTAAATTATTTCTCAACAAGCTGATAATGCTCCCTCTAAACTGGACCAAGTATATCTTTATAAAGTTTAGGTATAAAAATAAATTTGGGGCTCAAATTTAATCATAATCCCTAATCTAAGAAAAATCAGTTTTTATGATGTGGGCCTGCTCAATATTTGCACTCATGAAGTGATCACTGAAGATATGGGTTCTAGAGCAAAGTATGGTGAAGAGAAACAGTAGTGCCCAGGTATTAGAAAGAATAACATCTGGGGTCTTAGACGTTTGTCTTGAAACAAGCAGCCCTCTAAGTGAGGTGTCAGCTAAATTCACATGGAAAGAATACATCAGACCATGTGAGCCAAGGATTATAAATAGTAAAATCCAACATCAGAGAAGGGAATTGTAGTAGTGCTGAAATTTTACACACTCAGTGAAAGCCCAAAATTTCATTTGCAGAGTTTCCACACAGATTAAGCCTCCAAGGAATTTCTTGAATGAGTTGACCAGGGATATGAATAGTCTTGCCCTCAAAAAGAGCGTGCGATGTAGCAACAATGAAAAATACAACTTTCCTCTGATTCCTAAATGCTTCCTGCCCGCCCCCACTATCATGATCTGAATTCTACCTTGCAAGTCTGGCTAGACCAGAGGATGTACACTGGTACAGATAGGAACTGGAAACACAGGGAATCCAGGGCATATGATCCCTTCAGGACCAGTGGTGTGAGTGGCAATACTGGGAGGGTAGAGGGAGAGTGGGTTGGAAAGAGGGAACCGATTACAAGGAACTATATGTGACCTCCTCCCTGGGGGGATGGACAACAGAAAAGTGGGTGAAGGGAGACGTCGGACAGGGCAAGATATGACAAAATAATAATTTATAAATTACCAAGGGCTCATGAAGGAGGGGTAGCGGGGAGGGAGGGGAAAAATGAGGACCTGATGCCGGGGGCTTAAGTGGAGAGGAAATGTTTTGAGAATGATGAGGGCAATGAATGTACAAATGTGCTTTACATAATTGATGTATGTATGTATTGTGATAAGAGTTTTATGAGCCCCTAATAAAATGATTAAAGAAAAAAGAGTACTTTCTTAAGTGTATTACTACAGATATACCTAAGCGAAATTTTAACATTATTACTTGTTTTCCATTTGACCTATTTTCGATTTGATCTAGTTTATATTATATTCTGCTTTCTCTTGGATTGAAGCTTTTCTGTATTTAATTTTGTTGTCTTTGTTGGCTTTGGGGGTATAATTTTCTTTATATGAAATCCAGGATAGGTCAACCTATAGAGACAGTCACTAGGTTAATAGTTCACTAGGGTTATGGCAGGAGAGGTTGGGAGGTAATGGGGAACTAATAATAATGGGTAAAAGAATGTTCTAAAATTGATTGTAGTGATGACCGTACAATTTTTAAAATACATTTAAAACATTCCATTGTATGGTACATGAATTATATGTCAATATAACTGTTAAAAAAAACTTTAACTACTAAATCAAATGCCCCATGTTACTTATTGGTTGAAAGACTATAACACTTTCTCACTGCCCACAAATGCATTGCAGTGTAATGTACAAATCTTTAATTTCAACTTCCTCAGAATAATGAACAAAGAAAAGTTGGACTTGAGTCTAAATTAGCTATAATTGTATGACCTTAAGTAAGTCAATTAAATTCTATCAGCCTCCGTTTTCAATATCTATGAAAAAAAGATGATCCCTCATGCAGATATTGGCTAATTAATTGGAGCTCTTTGTAGATTATAAAGTGCTACAAAATACAAAGTACTAATTTATATCAAATTTTCCTAATTAGAAATTCAATAGAGTAAATGTCGGAAATTATAAACCGTACAGAAATACATGCAAGAACACAATAAAAACAATGAACTACATATAGAGTAAAGAAATGTTACCATTGGGAAGGGATGCTAAACAATAATTGTAGGGAACCTAAGGGGAGAATAAAATGCAGTTCTATAAGCTTCTAACCAACCTTCAGTGAACCATGCCATGGACTAAGTACTATGATTACCTCAGACACTGGTCTTCCAGGGAACATGGCATCCTCCAAGGGCCACACCAGAAAGACTTGAATTGGAACCACAAATGAATGAACTGGGCCCTACCTCAAAACTACCTGTAGCCATTGGACACAGGAGTGAAATTTCCTGATAAAAAATAAAGCAAATGATGGCCACCTTAAGATTGTGGAAATGGTGGTCATTGAACTTTAAGTTGGACTCCTGATTTAGTGAACAACCAATGATAGTGAGCCCAGAACCACCATATATTTAATATCTCAATGCTCCCCTTGCATAAATATGACAGGCATTAATCTGGTAGGCAAGGAACAGCCCTTGTAAGGAATGTTATAAAAAATTTCCCACCAACACCAACCCCTATGTTCAACGTAAACAGAACTTAATCATTTAAGAATTCAATCTGTACAAAACAACAATGCATGTATTGCAGTTCACAGCTAGGCTATATTCCCATAATGTCCTCATATCAACATTACCTTAAATTGTAAACCATTGGATAAATTATTGATGTTATCAATGCAATTGCCTTAAACCCCAGGGAGATTATTAACAATGTTCTTTTTTGTTTGTTTTGTTTGGGGGTATTTTATTGTTGTTGTTGTTGCTGCTGCTGCTGTTGTTTGGTTTTGTTTGTTCTCAAAAAATGATAATGTGACTGCTAAAGTAAATCAGAGTCCTTCATAACTCCTGGATAAGCACATGGATTCTAGATTCCCACTTAAATCTAGCCCCAATTCAAAAACAGTTCTTATAACATGG